AATCTTGGTGTGAATATCATAGTTTTGAATTCTGGTGTGGTATTTAAAGTTTCACCTGTAGGAACTTTTTTTATCAATTATGCTATCTGTGGAGGTTTTCAGCGGTTTGTAAAATAGTGTATTGCTATTCCTAATTCTATGTATTCAGATACAAATAAAGAATGACATGAATGACCTAATACATGAAGTCAATTGGATAACCCTGGTTTTTAATTTGATTATGCAGTTTAATAGCTTAGTTTCAGAATTGCTTACTGAATCTAAATTATTCTAGCAATAGAACAAAATTACTGTTAAAATATTAATTTGGAGAGAAGTCTTAATTTAATTCTAAAATAGGTGTACAAGCAATTTATAGTTTCCACATAACAAAAAATACTGTGATTTTAATGTAATTTCATTGGTTGTCATTTTGTTTATAATTAAGTTTAGCACGGGTTTCATAAATAAAAATATAAATCATTGCTTAGTAGAAAATACTGGTACTCCTAGTAGTTTAAACAAGTTTCACATACTATTACAGCAATTTGTCTTTGAAGAGTTAAGTGTTGATTATAATAACGTATAAATAATCTGTTTCTCGTAAAATGCAAGTAAAAATTTAACGTAGTTCTCAAGTGAATGTTTACAGTCATATGCAAAACGCTTGATGTGAAATATCTGCCATTAACCAATCTCTGAATGGTTAGTGAAATGTATCCAAGAATTTCCAAATATAATGTAGAAAATGATCATCAATGACTCGGCACGATCTTCTGGCATTTTTTGGGGGATCGCCATGGCTATTTTTTTTTATGAAGTGAATTTGTAATTTTTGAAAGATTTAAAAAAAAAAATCAACACTCTTAGCAATAACGACTCATAGTCAAAACAGAATTTACCTATTTACTATAAATCATCTATTTATGAATTTGTATTTTACCCCATCACTCAAAGGGAAGAAAGTGAGGACATCTCTCCTCTCTCATTCTGAATGTAAAGGGGATTTTCTATTCTTAAATAAGGTATAGCATGCTAATAAAAATTTTGTGTAGTAAGCAAAAAATAACATTTTTAACTATTTTGTGAGGGCGGTTCTCAGCAAATGGCCCACCCTTTGAAAACTAGGAGTAAATTGCACTCTCCCTCAAAGAAAGTAAGGGGGAATTGAATATTTGCAATTGGTGGCCCTGGATAAGACACAACTATGGTTAGTACTAGGCAAATTATTTTTTTTAGATTGTCACAAATTGATCACAAGACACTTGTATAATAGTATTGTAATATTCATTGCCTTGAACAAAATGACAAATTTCTCATTACAAGGATAGGTCTTTATGCACTGATGCCATATAACATTTCATGTTATCAGTTTTATATGCCGAGTGTTGCATTGTAAATGTGAAGAAGCTAAAATACTACTATTTAAAGTTGTAACTTGTGTATTCTGCAGAAAATGGAACAAAAACGTCAACATGGAAGACAGACTAATCAGTTGCAATACTTGAGAAATGTGGTCATGAAAGCAGTATGGAAGCATCAGTTTGCGTGGCCATTCCATGCTCCGGTTAATCCTGCTGAACTTGGTTTACCGGTGAGTATACTGTTGAAAAGTTTGTCACCACTTGTCCCTGGCTTCATGTACGCAACGTTGAGCTTCAGTATTCTGAGGGCTCCTGATTTCAAGGCCACAATTTCTAAAAAAATGCTTTGGACTGAGTGAAACATTTGACCATCCTTGCAGGCATTATGCCATCCAGCTTGGTGATCTTGACAATTATAAATTTTATATATCCACACTGAGAAGCTGTGCACTTTTGTGTATTGAGGTTTTCACGATGTTGGTGAATGGATTAAGACTGCATGCAGTTAGTTACATTGACCACTAATTTATGCATATTTTGTTATACAAGATGAGCTTTTTAATGATGATTATTTATGATCTGCACCTGATCTGATTCCTGAATGTGAATTATCATTTCTGAGGAAAGCTTAAAATTATTACTAAATGTGATGACAATTTATCTCAAATTATATTTCAGTAACACTTTCCTTTGTTTACTTTGTAGGATTATTTTGACATTATCAAAAATCCAATGGATCTCGGAACAATAAAGAAGCGACTTGAAAGTAATTACTATTACAGTGCAAAAGATTGTATTTCAGATTTTAATCTCATGTTTACAAATTGTTATTTATATAATAAGCCAGGAGAGGTAAGCAGAAAATTGGTTTATTATTATTTGTTGCATATTCTTGTCTTTTGCATGAATGAGCGCACATATGTTTTGACAATGCATTACGTGGTTTTCTGTGATGATAATTTCCTTACCTACTCATATACTTAAGGTACATGATGCTTGATCTCGTTAGCCTGAGAAAATCACACTGAATGTTTTAAATTTTAAACTATTTTGAGCATTTGCAATTCGCTACACATTCTTGGTATTTGTGGTGGGAGCATTCTGAGTTTCAAGTAGACAATATCTAGCTTGTGCATGAAGGCAACGTTGTTCATTCACTTTTTATCGATATGTGTTTACTTCATTATTTGTTTGTTTTAAAAAGCACTAAATACAAAAATTCATTTCTAATATATATTTATAATATTTTTCTCTCGCCATTCCAGGATGTTGTACTCATGGCACAAGCATTAGAAAAGCTATTTCTCACCAAAGTTGCGCAGATGCCTCAAGAAGAGATAGAAATTCCACCTCCATCAAAAGAAGCTGAATTTTTTGGCAAAAAGGGAAAGAAACCAAAAAGAGGAAA